GGGATATAAGGGAAATGATAGAGAAGAAACAATTTCCTGATGTTATTGGGGAAGGTTTAAGAAGAGACAATTACATTGCTTATTTTAGAACTTTACTAGCAATTGAAGAAATCAAGATGGAGGTGTGTGTTCAGATTTTGATTTGAAGTAATACTTGATTTTGGGTAGCACTAATATCTTATAGTTTCTTGCATCAGGAAGACATGAGGGACTATGATATGGAGTCAGTCACCATGAAGCGCAAAGGACTACAGTTTTTGTCCCTTGATGTCCCAGGGCTAGCCGAGAGGAGGCCATCACTTGTTTATGGAGATTTTATCTTTGCAAGGATAGCTTCTGCAGATGCTAGTGAGACCACCCCTTACCAGGTGCATTCATATTTGTGCTTTGTTTTATATCATAAGCTGCTACTTGATAATTTAAGCTCTCTTTACTGCATAATTTGGTAAAAATTATTACAATCCATTTTACATGTAGATTTTAAAAGTTGCAAAGAGTCATTTGATGTATTTGTACATGGCCATATACATAGATAGCCCCTGAAACTCGGCTTGAAATTTTGTTTTAGCACCTCAACTTAGCCAAGACCATTTGAACACCCATATATGTGTAAACTGTGTTTTTAGACCTTTGAATGGTAACCCCTAAGTAAACCATGACGCGGGAACTTACATGCGGTTATCTGTCAAATATGACAAATAAGATAATTCCGCGTAGCTTCTCATCAAACTAATGCAAGAAAAAGGAAAAAGGGGCTTTTGAGCTGAAAAAGGAAACAAGAAGATGCAATAATTTTTAAGAACCTCCCCCCAGAAGGTCAAAACTTCCGCATCTCTCAGTATCATCTTTTCCACCAGCTCAGATTCTTACCATTCCGACATTAAAATTCTTCAGTCCTTTTCCTCTACCATCTATATTGATCAGCAACACCACTACTTCAAAGCTCCATTTCACCTCCCAGATTGTCTCTATAAATTGTTGAGAAAAATTGTAAACATGGGTCTAGAAATTTCATCATAGATCACAATATCATCTAGAAAAATGCAAAAAAGCTTCGTATCGTGATTGCATCGAGAATTTCATTGTGATAAATTTTTATTTATGTAGTAGAATCTGTTAAGATCGATTCAAAGAATTTGAAGCATATTTGTGCAAGCATAGCCACGTGCACTAGTATCTATCACCAAAAATTGCAAATTAATCCTTTTAGGCCATTTTCTCTATGTCTTATAATGGTCAAGCTCCAACTGTGTATTAGCTACATGCGTTTCAAAGAAATATTTTAAAAGGATTGAAGACTTCCTCTTTCTTTGAGCTCAATGATCTCACAGTCTTGTTCAAAATTTTCTCTGTTTCGGCAACTGGACTTTGTCTTTCTTTTTCTTATGTTCAAAAAGACGGAAGAAACAGTTGATCTGTCAAGAAGAGGTCGGAGAAAAGAAAGAAAAAAGGTCGAATCACAGGAAAGAAATGTAAAAGGTGATATTAAGGAGTGGGCCTCACTTATTTCTGTTAAAGTCATTCTACGCACCTGATAAAAGTGAGAAATATATATAGATGATAGATCCATGTCAGCATAACGTGGTTCATGATACAATTCAAGGGTACATGAGGTGTGAAAATGGTGCTTGACTAAGTTAAGGTGCCAAAAGGAATTTTAAGCCAAGTGGGAGGGGCTATCTATGTATTGCCTTTATACATCCAAATCTCTGCTAGATAAGGTCCTTGTGTTGTCTTCCTATTACCTTTAAAATCACATCTCTTGAAATATTCATATTGATCTTTACAACTATGGATGTCGTGGTAGAACATCAACATTGCTTTTTGTTTTCTTCCTTGAGTCTTTTTTTTACTTTGTTTCTGTTATTAATTTCATTTTCATCTATTTTACTAGAAAGGTTGACAACTTTTGTGATGCCTGGCTGTTATGTCTAGCTGTTTTTTGCTTAGTTGCATGTTAGTACAATCAACCGAAGGCCCGAGGTTCAAATACTTGGGAATGAGGAAATTCAATGGATTCCAATATTTAGTCTTTAGGGAAATTAAGCTGCGCAATGACACATGCATAGCACCCCCTTTATATGATACATGTTAAAAGTTCCACTTTTTGTCTAAGTTATGCATATGAAGAATTTTAAGGAAAAATGATTATATATCAGCAAGATTTTACACATGAACTTGATAGATCAAAAGGAGAATAAATGTATTAACATAAACTTGGTGATTTTGGTGGTTCTTGCACAGGGTTATATCCACCGAGTTGAGGCGGAAGAAGTATATTTGAAGTTTGATGAAGAATTCCACATCAATCATGTTCCTGGAAATCTGTACAATGTGCAGTTTTCATTCAATCGTACGGGTGTGCGGAGGTTACATCAAGCCATTGAAGCTACAGAAAGCTTAAATGGAGAAATTCTCTTTCCATCAGGCATATCCAGAAAGAGAAATATACAAGCTGCTAGACTGGCACCTAATTCATGTATGCTTAACAAGGAACAAACAAGTGCAGTTGAAAAGATTCTTGGGTGCAAAGGAGGGGCTCCATATGTTATCCATGGGCCTCCTGGTACAGGCAAAACAAGGACTCTTATAGAAGCTATCATCCAGCTACATATTATGAGGAAAGATACTCAAGTTCTTGTCTGTGCACCTTCAAATAGTGCTGCAGACCATATACTTGAAAAACTTGTCAGTCAGCAGAATGTTGAAGTGCAGGAGCATGAGATTTTTAGGTTGAATGCACTCACACGTCCTTTAGATGATGTGAATCCTAGTTACCTGCGTTTTTGCAATGCTGAAGATAATTCTTTTAAGTGCCCTCTTCTCAGGGACCTTAGAAGATATAGGGTTATCATATCTACATATGCTAGTGCATGTCTTCTTTATTCAGAAGGCATCAAACGGGGACACTTCTCTCATATTTTCTTGGATGAGGCAGGACAGGCATCAGAGCCTGATACCATGGTTCCTCTGTCACATCTTTTAAAGAAAGAGACAGTAGTTGTACTTGCTGGTGACCCACAGCAACTTGGTCCCATAGTTTTCTCAAAAGATGCTGAAAATTATGGATTGGCAACTTCATTTATGGAAAGGTTATTTGAATGCCAGTTATATGGTGCGCTCAACGAAAATTATGCTACCAGACTAGTAAGGAACTATCGGTGTCATCCAGTAATTCTGCAGCTTCCCTCAGAAATGTTTTATGAAGGAGAGTTGATCCCATGTAAAGAAGATAAAACTTTTACCCAGACTTGGGTGGACATGCTTCCAAACAAGGAATTTCCGTTGCTTTTCATTGGCATACAAGGTTGTGATGAAAGGGAAGGAAACAACCCATCATGGTTCAACAGGATCGAAGCAAGCAAGGTAGTAGAGATCATCAGAGATCTGATAGGGAACAAAGGTCTGAAAGAGGAAGACATTGGGGTGATAACACCTTATAGGCAGCAAGTACTGAAAATAAGAACAGCCCTTGAGAGCTTTGATTGGGCTAATATAAAGGTTGGCAGCGTAGAGCAATTTCAAGGTCAGGAGAGAGAAGTTATTATCATATCGACCGTCCGGTCAACGATACAGCATAATGACTTTGACAGAGTCCATTATTTAGGATTCTTAAGCAATCCGAGAAGGTTCAATGTTGCTGTTACAAGAGCCAGATCATTGCTTGTAGTTATCGGGAATCCACACATCATCTGCAAGGTGATTCTGTATTTATTTCTGCTACTGCGATTTGTAGCACCAATGTAGATTTGATATGCCATTGTGTTTGTTTTTTCTTTTTTTTGATATGCCATTGTGTTTGTTTTTTCTTTTTTTTGATATGCCATTGTGTTTGTTTTTTCTTTTTTTTGATATGCCATTGTGTTTGTTTTTTCTTTTTTTTGATATGCCATTGTGTTTGTTTTTTCTTTTTTTTGATATGCCATTGTGTTTGTTTTTTCTTTTTTTTGATATGCCATTGTGTTTGTTTTTTCTTTTTTTTGATATGCCATTGTGTTTGTTTTTTCTTTTTTTTGATATGCCATTGTGTTTGTTTTTTCTTTTTTTTGATATGCCATAGTAAAGGTGGAGTTTCTGTCTATCTATTTTCTGAAAACTTTCCTTATCCTGGTGGTACCTTTTGTTGGCATTTTTGGAGGTGATACCTATTGAGTCATTGATAAAAGTTGAATTAGAAAAGGTGACTTTCCTCTTGAATTTGTTATGGGCTTATGATGAGCTAAAAATTATGAATCTTGAGACATATTTTGCCAATTGTTCTATCTATTAGTGAGAAATACCAATTCTTATTAACGTATACGATATGGCAGGATCCCTACTGGAACAAGCTTTTGTGGTATTGCGCAGACAATGGCTCCTACAAGGGCTGCTTCTTACCTGAAAAACTGGAGATCGTTCAAGACGACTCGGAACAGGCAAATAATTGGAATGATGTCGGGGCACAAGTAAATAACTGGGACTGTCAAGGAGCACAAGCTAATGATTGGGACCAAGACCAGGCGGGAAAAGTTAACGATTGGGACCAAGACCAGGCGGGACAAGTTAACGATTGGGACCAAGACCAAGGGGGACAAGTCAACAATTGGGACCAAGATGAAGGGGAACTAGCTAAGAATTGGAATGAGGAAGGCACTTGCGTCAATGAAGAGAAACATAGTCTTCAGCCATCTCCTGATGTTCAAGGTACAATGCCCCAAACAGATTACATCCCGGACCCTGTTATGGATGAAGCTGAATGGTCTGATGGTTGGAAATAACTACTTACTCTATTATGCTAGTGGGTGAATCTTTTGGAGGTTATATTGAACCTCAAAACTCAGAGAACCTTTTCAGATTCTGCACTAGAATGTGCGGTTATTGCATTTTGAAAAATTTCAATCGCAGGAATGCCTGCATTTTAGCTACATGTATAGATGCTATCTATCTATCTCTCTCTATATATAAAATGATGTGCAAAATTCAAGCTCAAAATTTACATAAAAGCTGACACCTTGAAACCTCAAATTCGTTATATTCAACACTTATAAAATTTGTTTACATTGAGTTGCCAGCTCAGTTGAACTGCAAAGCCATTACCCCACAGGCTGCTAGAAGAACAAAAACTGAAAATCTCTGGGAACTCTGTGCTGCTGATGGTATCAAATTAGGCTTAAATCCTAAATTTGTATCAGGGTCTCCAAAGATGTCTATTGGAGGTGGTGTTAAATTTGGTCTTTTATTAGCCACTGGTCTTAGAGGAGGTGTGTATGGTTGAGGAACATTTTTAGCAGCTGCAAAATGTGAAACAAACAATACCAACTCATAAGCCATATATATGTTAGACTCCAAGGAAAAATCACCAGAAACGCAGAGTTTCAGTTACCTTTAGGACTAGGAGATGGAAGTGACCTAGTTGGTCTTAAGCTAGCTGGACCTGTAACCAAATGAAGATTTAATCATCTTATTCCCTTGTTTAAACAAAAATCAAGAAAGGATGGTGTCAAAATTTAATAAATTGAGCAACTTTGGTACCTGGAGCTGGAACAGGGGAAGGTGATGCTGCATGCAATGTAATCAACAAGTCAGAAATTAGTGACCTAATATCAATTGGAACGAGTTTAATTTCACGTATGGTCACTGAAGTTAACTCACTCATTTAATTACCTTTGCACTGAACGGGGACACCATCCATTTTACAAGCTTTAGGGAGGGAAATAGCTAAAGTCCTGTTAATGGGAACGCGAAAAGGAACGTTTCCAGTAACAATAAGGCAGAGGCAATCTGTGCCATTGCTCATAACATACTTGAGAGATTGGCAACAATCTGAAGTTGGTGAAGAATTATTGCTCCCACCATTGCTAATGAAGTTTATGCAAGGGCTAAAGCTACGTAGCATTGCCGCGCTACACGCTGTACTAATCTGCCCGTAAACTAATTGCGTGCTGAAAACCATTAAAACAACAATCAAAATTGACGATAGTTTTATCCCTTCCATTTTTGTAATGAATTTTAAAGTTTTGGAGAATAAGTAATTAAAAGGGAATGTGCAAGTATAGAAACTTGATGTTGGATATAGAAGATATTACTAATTAGAAGTAATTTATAGATCAAAAGGGGAAAATAACAAGGAGAAACATGTAGGTTCAAAGTGGTTTTGGAGCTCAACTACCTTAACTAACTTCAAATGATTAAGAATGTTTAAGTCACCTTAAAAATAATTAATTGCATTTGGATTTTCGAAGTTCTTAATTAAATTGATATCCAAGAGATTCAAGCTAGTTGCCCGAAAAGTGTGATGTGATTGCTCCTTGAAATTAAAGTCACATTTAATCTTGATACCTCGTAGAATTTTGGTGATTTAGTATTGGTCAAACTTACATATGCCCGTTCTTTATATATCAAATTAATTAATGTATACATGATACGCATTTTTAAAAATAAAAATAAAAATAAAATTTAGTTTGTAAAATATGTCAATTTATTTGAGCATATAAAAAATTGTGTAGGATAATATATGAAATAGTAGAATATTGTTAAAAAGAAATCCTTGGACGTCTCAAAATTTAATAAGGTGTTATGTGTATTGTGACATTAACGTAACATAGTGTATATAAATGTTCGCCATAAATAACTAATAATTTTAGTGTTCTTTGACATTCCTTTCATATTGAATTGTCGAAGAATTTGTCTAGTTACCCTCCCTTGTTATCTCGTGAAATACTTTGGGGATACTCCTAATAACTCTGAATCAGTTATTAGTATGTCTTATCATATTTTGACATCTAATTAATTGAAATGATATGTGATTAACTAATAAATTGGTATTTTACCAATTTATTCGACTCTTATTCATAAATTATTGCGATGTTTTAATTCTAATAGAAGAGATTTAAGGCGCTTATTCTTTTATGGACAAACATTCCTTTGAACAAGAAGAAACAAGAATTTGAGATAAATATCACTAAACACACTGACAAGGAACCGACATAAGACAGAAGAAGTTGGGATGGGCACTGGGTTGAGTAGAAGTGGACATGTGTCTGACAGAGGTGCAATTGCAGGCACAAATACAGACGGTCAGGATTTGGATATAGTGTTAGACAAATGTTATCCATGTATTGATTGGTTGTGACTTAATGAGAAAATTGTGCAGAATAACAAGCATTTAAACGATATTAAATGCTATAGCTATTGTTTTGTAAAATTGTGATTTGTAGCTATAGTTTCCTTAAATTTTGCTATTAGTTTAATTTGTATAATTTGCTTGATTGTATAAATATAGAATTTGTATATGCTTACCCTATCTATTTTGTATACGATTTATGAAGAATTCACAATAAATTATCTTGTTTATAAATTGGCAAGCAAAATATATAAACAGAGTTCTAACAAAGTCCTAAATGTATAAATACATAATTTGTATATAGTTACCCTCTTTGTATATTTGCAAGAAAATATACAAACCGCAGTCTCCATAGCAAACAAAACTATAGGTATGAAGTGTAATGATCGAAACTATAACTATAGAGCCTTAATATGTCTATTATGTTTGCTATTTCTAAATTTTTCTCACTAATTATCGCCTATTAAGTTGAAGCTCCATCGAAATTGCAGATACCCTAGTTCAGAGGCGTATCCAGGATTTCGGTTAGATGGGTGCACGATTATGAAAAAATGTATCTTAAATATAAATTTGATCGATTTGACTTTTTGATTATTAATATGAACCATTAAATTTTAAAACTTATAGGTCCAAAATATATAATACTACTAGTTTTAAATTTTAATATACACATTTGATTTAATTATATAAAAAATTTACAGTGCTAAATTTTTTAGGAATTTGCAATGTAACACAGTTGAAAATTTTGAAAGATTAAAGGGGGAAAAAAGCAAAATTAGTTGAAATGTTAAAAGTATAACTGAGAACCACTTGAAGATGTGTTACTCAAAAAGACAACATATAGATATAAAATTTAAATTTCTATCCTCACATAGATAGGTGCACCCAATCATCATCATCGTATTATTATATGATACTTTGAACATGGGTTCATACATCTATATTTAAATATTTTAAAAAAATATGACACTACTATATATGATCTAGAGAGGGGAGCATGGGTTCACGTGAACCCACGGCACCCCCTCTAGATACGCCTCTGCCTAGTTGTTTTCCAACTTGATAAATCTCTTACCGTGTTGCTTATAAAGTGATCTTGATTTTCAGTCTTGAAGCAAATTCCTTGTTACCAATTCCCCTATGTCATGACCTGAATAAATGAGCTAAGTGAAGAATAAAGAAATGACGAATAGGATTATAACACCTGGATGTACGAGATTTAATTGGAGTTAATGAAGCTGAAGGGCTGTGATTGCACGTGAGCATCCTATAACTAAGTTCCTGGAAGAGCAAAACGGGCATTGATCAAATTGGTATTATTCTCGTGCTCCTCTCTCTCTTCTAATAGACTCTCTTCTCTTCTCTTCCTTTCAATCTCCTTCTAAATTCTTTTCTCATCTAAATCTGTAGGTCCTAATGGCTATGGCGAGTTCTTCAGTTAGTTTCCATTAAATGTAGTTTTAATTTCCATGTAGTAGATATCCTTGTCTCTAATTTTCCAGTTATAAATCAGAAAATCCCAAAAACTATTGTGTTCGATTATTTTCTTTTCCATTTGAATTTCCATATCTCAATCAAGATCATAACACCCTATTTAAATACATATTTAATACAAGTTAGATTTGAATTGACGAACGAACAACGTAATCCTTATGAATTCGATCTCAACTCATAAAAATTGGGTATTATTTTTGCATATACGACCACCTATTCTTTAATTGCAAAGTATGAGAGTTATTATTAACAAATTTATTAGGTTATTTTAAAGGGAAAATTGTATATAATAACAAACTATTAATTCAAATTAAATGTCATAACCACAGTTTAATTTAATTGTAACCCGTAGCAAACTGTTGCCATTTGCCTCTCTCCCTAGGTTTCTCGCTCGCCACTCTCGCCAGTCTCTCCCTTTTATACAAACACAAATGTATAAAATGCATTTGTGTTTATATAAAGCGAGAGAAAATTGTATATATACATATATTTTCGTTCCGCTCTCTCCCCTCTCCCAGATCTTGCTCGCCACTCTCCCAGATCTTACTCGCCACTCTCACTCACCTCTCTCACTTTATACAAACACAAATGTATACATTGTGTTTGTGTTTGTATAAAGCGAGAGAAAATTGTATATACAAATACAAATACATATATTTTCGTCCTATACACTTATGATTATACAAATACAGATCTTCCCCCTGCCCAGTTTTCTTTTGTCTTTCTCTCTTTCTCGCTTTATACAAACACAAATTATACAATTGATTCTTTTGTATATGTATACCGAAACAGATTATACAATTGCTTCTTTTGTAACATACAACTATGATTTTTATGTTTACTATATGTGAAAGTTGCTCTACTTTAAAATGCGACATTAGATATTTATTTGAGATTTAAACAATTATTATGTTGTTTTAGTGGCGACCACGTTTAAACCTAGATCACACTTTAAAATGCGACATTAAAATCTCTGGATATTTGAATACATGGCTCTTGAATGTGATTGTTGTTGTACTGGATTTATTCTTCCTTCTTATACAGAGCACTTTTAGATGTAATTGTATGAGTTTTTACCATATATAGTGAACTCAAATTGATACTGGATTTTTGGAAGTTAGCAAAAAAAACGTGTGTTCCTAAGTAATTAATAAGTTACAAAATAATAAACTTTGTTATCCTTAGTGTTCTTATGAACTTGAAATAAAAAACATACTCCCTCTATCATGTTCATACGATGGCGGTTTTCCATATATCACATTAAAGATGTTAAACTTGTGTGTTGATAAGATAAATTTGACTTATACATTATTAGTCACAGTGATCAAACTTTGTAATTTGAGTAATTTAGTATGAAAACTATGGAAGTTAAAAAGAAAATAGAAGAATATATCAACATTTTGAGGATGTTTGGCAATTGACTCCACAATCATTGTTGATTGCTTCAATGATAATGAAGAAGCCCCTAAAATTACTCATACCTAGACTCATCGCGATCAATCTTTCTTCTGGTGGGAGGAAGTCTTGTAAAGGGGGAGCACTCTAAGTCGGAATGAAGGACTATTGTCAATGTGGCTGGAGCCGCTATACAGCTCGCCCGTGCTTTCTGAGGCGCTGCCTGTGACTCAGCGAATCAGTCGAGGGACCTGAGAGGCGGTGACCTAGGATTCCCATTTGGTTCATTTTTTCATAGATCTACGTGGGAAACTTGAGAGAGTGTCATATAACTTTCATCAAAGGTATTTCACTACTAGGAGTAAAATATTTGAACTGTATTTGTGTTCGTCTATGATTAGTTAGTTTTTGTTAAAAGTTTTAATACAATTTGTTTACACATTAAAGTAGAGGGGACAAAATCAAACTCAATTCGTTCCATCTGTTTAAGTTTGGTTAGGTTGGTCTGTCTATTTATTAGCTCAAATCATTTCAGTCAATTAAACACTACAAAAAAAACGCCTAAATTGCGGGGGTTAAAATTAGGCATAATACATAAATGTGCCCTTTGACTTGGCTTCATTTTACGTTTTTGTCCTCCAACTTTGGATATGCACAAGTAGACACTTAAACTTGTATAAAATTGAACAAGTAAACATATGATTCCTACATGGCACAATACACGTAGGACACCACGTAGGACAAAATATGACATGTAGGATGTCATGTAGGACATGTGTGTCTATTTGTTCAATTTTATACAAGTTTAAGTGTCTACTTGTGCACATCCAAAGTTGAAGGGCATAAATGTGATTTGAAGCCAAGTTAAAGGGCTATTTTTATGTATTATGCCTTAAAATTACATGTTCTGACGGTCAGTAACCCCCACAATTTAGTGTTGCGACAGTTGAGAGAACTCCTGCAATTAGGTGTGCCACAATTAAGTCCTAGGAGTTTTGGACGAACCCCTGCTACCATTAGCGGGGGCTTATTACTGGGGGTTTTGAACCCACAAATGTATATCTATAAAACTGCACTTAAATATCTAGGAGTCAAAACCCCTGCAATTTGTGAACTTTGGGAGTCAAAACCCTCACAAATCATGAATTTTACATTAAGTTCAACAGGAGTTCTAACCCCTGTAATTTATGAACATGTAACCTTCTAGAGCATTATGCTAGGAAAAATCTATTTTAAATATTAATGACTAATTAACATGTACATCATAGTCAAACCTAAAAGGGCTTATTAGTATTAAGAAATAACAAATATTTCAACAAAAAAATATATCATAAAGTGTACTATTAGTTGTACAAACTAAATTGAAACATCTCATTCACTTCAACCATTACGATTACAAGAAACTTCAAATCACTACAAAAACTGTCATTCGCTAATCTTGCTTTTATTGATGAAAAGGGTTCACTAGCATCCATACTCAAGAAATGACCTGCAACTATTCATGGAACTTCAACGATTGTCACTACGACTACTATCACTGGCATCACCTGTCTGCAAAGGAAAATACACAATAAGTGATATGATAAATGCTCTCACCCTTCTTTTGTAACCTCTTTTGAATGCAATAAAATGATTAGGACTGAAACCTAATCCAACCATTATGGTGATTTATAAAAAAAATACTTGCATATTGTATGTCAACAACAATATGCAAACAAATACTAAATTCTCTACTATGAGTGTCAATACAAATGCTAGTCATAAACAAATAGGTCAATACTAACATACAAGAATATGCAAAAATATGTTCTGGACCTTGCTACTTCTTTATTGCACATAATAGTAAAAGAATCACAAGTTTTTATCTTGCTCTTGTGTTAATCCAGACCAAACAACACTCCACA